CCGCGCCCCTGAGCTCTGTGGCCCGGCTCTGTGTCCGGGCGTGCAGTTCCCAAACAGCTCGAGGCTTTTCAAAAGTATACTTAGTACACTTGCATTCGTTTCCGCCAACAATGGAATTTTCGGAGTTGACGCCGACGCCGAAAAAATGCTGATGCTTTTTGGGGCTTATGCTGGTGTAATTTTGTTGTCTGCTGAGTTTCCTGCAGTAGTGAGATGGTGGGCTTGTTCTGCAGACAGTTCTGCCGACAGAAGAGCACACCTGAATCGTCAACAGCTTCACTTGAACTGCAGTTGCAGATTGCTCTTGCAGTTGCAGATTGCTCTAGTCTAGCCGATGCAGATCCCCTTGTTTTTGCTACACTGGCCATGACCGATGTTTGTCTTACGAGCTAGTGGTGTGTTCAAGAACTTGCGAGTTCTGCGAGGGTATGGAACTCTTGCATTTTGAGGCTTAGCTGGAGCCGAATCCCAGATTTCTTGTGCAATCTGAGGTCTTTGAAGATCATCAGAAGATTGCACATGGACATGATCAACTTTCCAGTCACTGCGGAGTCATCAACTCAGCCTCCTGCAACACACCTTGTTTTTGCCGCAGCGAGCTGAGACACAGCTGTCCGGTGCATCACGAGCTCTCTAAGGTTCAAGCAAAAGCATTCAGTCCTCCTGTGCCCCCCCTGGGAAGCTTACAAATCATGAGCTGCTCAGTAGCTGCCAGCCTTGGCTGCCACTGCCCGCTGCACTGCAGGTATTCTCTTCGAATGCTCGAGGGCCGCTTGCGCAAGGACTGTCCGACGGCAAAGGACTCGGACATCCAAGAGGCGGATGAGAGAGCGGACCAAGCCCAGCGAAACAGAGACGAACTGCTTTTTCGGATGTGTACATGAGCACAAGAGTTCTAGACGAAGTCATGTCATTTGCTTTTATGTGTTGAAGGGATGTTGAAGGCACGATTCTCCACACTGACCTCGCACAGGGACCTTTAGAACAGACTCCCGAGCTGAAGCAGCAGCTGGAGGAGGAGAGCTTCAGTACTACGGTTGTTTTGCAGTTGAACCTTCACAGGCACTGTGCCTGTGGAGGCTGTTTTGCTTGGGCCCACTCCAGGTTGATGGAGATTTTGAGCAGCAGCTGGCCGCTGACCTCGATGAACTCCGTGCCATCAGCCGTGCCAAGGCCACGATGCTTTGGTTTGACCAGAGCGACAGGCGACAGGCCATGCTACTGCTGAGATCTGCTGTGTCGTATTTGTCGTCAGGCGCAGAGAGCCATGGTGAAAGAGGCGGCGCAGCGGCGGAGGGCAGCCGAGGCCAAATGGACGGCTCATGAAATGAGCACTTCGCAGCAAATTCACAGATGCGCACGCGCACTACATAAACTTACACGCTGCACATCAGTGTGCAGCGGCTGGGACAGGAATTCTTGGCGCCAGCCTTGAAAGAATCAAGTGAAGCAGTGTTTGACACTCAGTCCTTTGATGTCCTAACAGCTGCTGTTTGTGCTGATGCGACTCATGCGCTGAACACGTTGCACCGAGGCTGCGCGCCGAACGGGCTGCGCGTCGGATGGAGATTGCGGCAGACCTCCTCCGACCAGTGGCCCTCCTGTCCTCGCAACTGGGAGCAGAGGCCGGCAGCACTAGATCTCAACTCTGTGAACACCTCCATGATGCATGAAGACTTGCCACTTTCGTTTCTTGGTGCATTTCCTTTCCAGTCGAATTGGGCTGTTCACTGATCGCTGACCTGCAGGCCTTTAGGCACGAGCAGCTGGAAAAGGGTAATCCAGAGCCTGCAAGCTTCGCTCCAAAGCGCAAACGTCAGGAGGCTCGCCCAAGATGTCCAACGTCGACGCGCTTTCTCGAGACCAATGTTCCCAGCCTTTCTATCTTTTGATCCATATGTCACCGGATCCATGTTGATGCCGTATGTCACCGGTTTGAGAGGCATCCTTGGCAGCAACGCTGAAGGTTCTCAAGAGCTTGCTGGCGGAACTCGACGCCGAGCAGGCAAGGCATAGGCGGTCGGTCGGCACGAACGGTGGCCCGAAGCACGAGCCTCCGACAGCTTGCGACGGAATCATGGCACATTCTACAGGTGAAGAAGGTGGCAGCTGCTCCGAGCACTGTGGGGAAGGAAAAAGAGTGGGAGGCAAGGACCGTTATGATGTTGTATGCCTTCACTTCCGGAAAGCTCCATGGCTGACTCAGGAGGCTTTGGAACGCACATCCCGACGCTGGGCGAGCTTTTGCCGCTCATTCAAATTGTGACAGAATCCAAGCTGCTTTTGCATCTCTCGGCCGCAGGTGTCAGTCGCAAAGTTTGTTGGTTCATGCTGAAGCCACACCGATCAACTGTCATTTTGACAGGACAATTTCCCTCCTGGATGTCCACATGGACTATAGCAAATATCACGATACTTGCACATGATTGAAGTCTTTGCTGGCTTGGAAGTACTCCCGTCGACCAAGGTGCAGAGCACCCCGCAAACGTGCCAGAAGAGCAAGAAACTCCGCGAGGAGAGAAAACTTTCTCTTCGCTGCTAGGTTGCAAAATAACCACCGAAGAAACACAGAGAGAGACACAGAGAGAGAGAGAGAGGAGACGACCGCAAGATAGCAAAATAGCTTCTATCATAGAAGCGACTGTTTATGATTCTTTATGCAGAGAGGCAAAGAGTCAACAAAAAGGTTTATAGAGTCGTAAGAGGCCGTCGCCATCGCCCATCTGCTCACCCAGGCAGACCTCAGTTGCAAGCACGCTTGCGCTTGACTCGATTGATGGCTTGGAGGACTGGGCACATAGCCGCTTCTGGAAGATGTGCATTTTGCACTAGTCAAGCGGGTGAACCCCCCCATGTTCCTGTTTACCATTGTTTACTGGAGGACGAGGTGGAAGCAGCTTGGCTGTGCGCAATAGTGTTTATACTTTACACAGTCAGTGACAAAGAGTGCGGCACGCACGCCCAGTGTTCCACATTTGGATGTCATACTAAGGCCCCAAAGAAGTTGCCACCACCACCGCCCGCAAGAAAACAGGCGTTCAACTTAAGAGATGAATGCGCAGTTGATTTGTGCTTGTGAAATCCGTTTTTTGCCCCATCCTATTGCCGTTGATTGGGGCGTCCAAAAAGCGTCCAACTTCATTTTTCACCACGAGGCACCTGCCCGGCCACCAAGCGCCGGCGGGAGCGGACCTGCCGGGAGCCCCCCAGGACCCACAAGTGGTGGCCCAGGCGGGCCACAGCTGTGCAAAGTTTTTATTAGGAGAAATCAACAGGTTTGGATAGGTTTGGTCTCAAGCATTTGTGGACGTCAAGCGGAGGGCAAAGCCAGAGTCAAGTATTCTTCACGCACACCTTTCCTGGTGACCTGATTCCTACCCTTTTTCAGGCGCCAAGGGGGCTGTGCAGTCGCTGGGAACAGCTGCAAGCTTAAGGGACCAAATTCAGGGCCTGGGTCAGAGAATGAGGGCAGACAATGGCACGGCCATTTTGTAGAAAAACGTGGTTTCAGAGAGGACAGTTGCTTGATTTTTGGCATGTGTTTAAATCCCTTCCCTGTATGATGGCTGAGTCCAAGAGGTGTTCATTGTTTCCTCTCACTGAGGGCCAGAACGGCCAGAGCACCAAAAAGGGAGCTGCCTTGCTGGAAAAGCTGGACGAGCTTTCCGCCACCATGGACCGTCCCTTGTCCAACTGCTTGAAATCGGGTACTTTTTCCCGAGTGACGTCCGATGCAACGAGGCACTCTGGGCAAGAACTCTGCCTTGAAAGCCACCACGGGTGGGGGAGGGCGCAGCCTAAAGCCTCCAGGCGGAGTGTGAGGATTGCATAGTGGAAGAAATCAAAGCTTCACAACAAATTGAGAGGGGACAAGCACAGCTTGAGACGGCTCATGCTTCCCGACTGCAGGCATTGGAAAGGCCAAACGGTGAGGACAACGGCACCCCCCCGGCTGTGAGCGACGAAATGTTCGCACACAGACGGGCAAGTAGTCAGGTACACTATTTGAATGGCATATTCTGCACTGTTTAAAGAAGTTCACAATGGGGCAGAGTGAGCCAAGCAAGCATAGATGCTCACAGAACATTGGGAATATCCGAGCATGTGCCATTCAAAAATTCAAAATGTAAATGTTTCATTGGTTTCACAGATCACCCTGGCGTGCATAACAGCAAGACGAGGCATTCACGTTTTTTTGGTTCATTCTATGCGCGGACCGGGGCATGATCTAAGAGTTTTGCCAGTTTTGCCACTGGCAGACTGAACTCACAGTTTCAGGCACAAGTCCAGATCGTTTGCTTGAGATGGCCATGCCGTTTGCCTCTCGGAGCAGATACGTTGATATAGATTGCAAGAGTGCGTTTCACACGTGTCGTCTCACACGGATCGCAGCCATTCGCCGTCGCAAGCGGTAACAAAAATGCCTGGGCCACCGGCGAGCGAGGGGGTCGGATGTGAGATGCCCTGAAAATGCGGAGCGCAGAAAAGAGAGGCAGGTGCTGGATGATCACCGATTCACAAGTTTCCTTGGCACGGCCGTACATGTTGGGCTCAAGCTAAGTAAGAATCAAGACACCTGCCGCAAAGGGATGTGAGAGAGGCTCACTAACTCAAGAAAGCGGGTGACCGTGGGAAAGCACACACTTTTGCTCGCAAAATGCTAGCACTCACCCAAAACGATCATGTGATGGACATGGAGGACATTACGCACACCAAACTCTGGTGAATCTTCGGCATACGATAAGTTTTTGACCTTCGCTCATTTTTTCCAACTTGTCCAGCACCACGTAAGTCATGCCTCCTGTTCAGCTTTCCACTGTCTCAGCAACTTGCAACAGATTTCTGAGACGGGAACGAAGCCCATTGCCCACGAGTGGAACACATGCTCATCATCGAAATTCGCAGCTGAGCTCAGAATGGCCTTAAGGATCACTCGAACAACGTACCGTTTCTTGCTCAGACCAGTCTAATTGGTGGCAAGAAGGCGTCGTTGGCTGGGCATGGGTTGTGGCCAAGGTTATGAGTATCCTGATGGGTCTGTCACTCTCAAGACGATGCTGCGCTGTCCCAAAGAGGCCCACAATGCACTGTCCTTGCACTTGTATTGTACTCCCATGCTCCGGCCTGTGGCAGGGCTGTGGTGAAGAGTTCGATGGGCTGCAAGGTGGATTTGGCACCAAGAAATTTTATAAAGGATAGGCCACAGAAGCATGGAGCTTCCGGCTCCTGGCTGTGTTCACCAGTTGTGCGAATGATTATATAGAGAGCTTTCCAGTATGACTCCAGGGTACAGTTGGCGCGGTTCGGCTAAACAGAACGGGAGTGGTAAACTGGAAGAATTAGACGGTAGGCTTGGCGCTCCATGCTGGCCAAGTACATGGGCTGCAAATGGACTGCCCAAGGCCGGGCCTTTCGTTGCCAGAGCTGGACAGCGTTCGGCCCCCAAGCAACCCAAGTCCACAGCGGAAGCCAGCGCGGCAACCATGTGATGGAGAGTATCCGACATCCTCTCTCTGATTTGTAGAACGCCGGCCACGCAACTTTTGACAATAGATCGTTCCTCATGGTGTTCTGTGTTTTCGCAAGCTGTGAGTCTAGTTCTTTTGTAGTCACATTGTAGTCTTGGCGGGCCGTTGGCCCTCTCGATTGTAGTTCCACTCCAAGGCAGTTTAGGTTTAAGAGATGCCATGTGAACTCCCAAAACCCAGGCCTACGTGTGAGCAGTCCACGCGTTCGCCCACCTGTTGGGACTGCGTGTTCTGCAAGAAAACACCCCTGTCATCTGGGCATTTGCTTGCAGAATGTCATGGATCAACGTTTCATTCTGGAGTGGATATGAATCCTCCTGTTACCCTTTGACGCGAGTGAGCCCCAGTGGAGCCATGATTTGCCCATTTTGGAGAATGCTGAGATGGGGGGTGAACACAAATTCATGGTACAAACCCACACTAAAGGTGTGTGCTCACATGTGTATATGTAGATGTGTGTAGATATGTAGATATTAAAACGCATCATATATATATATATATATTATATGTACAAATGGGTCATCATACAGTGGACTGCGCAAAATCAGAAGCATTCCCCGAAAACAGATCTTGTCTATCACAGGTTACTGTAAGTCGTGGGCAAGTAGGAAGTATGGCTCGAAGTGCTCAGAGCAATCAAACTCATCTCTTTTTTGTGATTCATTCAATCAGGATTGCTATCAGTTGATCCTGGGCATTTTCAACCCTTGCAATTGAAACACAGGTACGCTATCATGGACATGGCAAAACTGGATGGGGTAGCACTTAACAGGTTTGTGCGTTGGTGCTCTGAGCCCCTTGATCACGCGCCGCCCGCGTGCTTTCCATCATTAACGGATGTCCTGCTGCAGCACAGCACAGCCACAAACACATACCCCCCCTCGTTTGCTTTTTCTGAGTAGCTGCTTAATTTTCGTTGTGCCAACGGGAAACCGGCACCGTGTCTGAGTCCACCAGATAGCGGGAAGGTGGCGACGCAGCGGCTTAGCAGCAACAAGGTTGTGGCAGTGACATCGGAACAGAGGGAAACTGAGTTGGTTGATGCTGAGGAAGGTGACCCGCCTAAAACTTCCAAATGGCGACTTCATTTTGGTTTGCCTGTACCTTGAGAGTGTGATGGAGTTTCAAGCTTTCGTTAAAGAGGAGTAATTTCGATCCTGCCTTGCCGATGCTGCCGAGTAGCGTTAGTGACCGCTGGTGTTTGAGTGATCATGACGGAACAGCCCTGGAAGATGCCAAACAATCCTACTGACACATTCGATGGCAGTTTGTCGACAGAATGGGAACTAGAAGCTCTTTTCCTGCACCTTAGTCTGTATTTGTTACTTTTTTTCATTCCCTCACTTTCTACCCATCATATGGACAAGAGCAGAGCACATGGGAATGACCAGAGTTCTACTGCTGGGGCATCATGTGGGCATGTTGAGGAGCCTTTCATGACTTTCATCCCAGTCCGTGTAGGGTTCCAAATCAGTCTTGGAGAAAAAATCAGAATGGTCATGTCTCATGCGCAGGATTATGAGGCTGCCATACTTGCCGCAAACGCAGAGTATGATGTGAAGAAAGCCTTCGTTCAGAGTTTGGCACGTGACTCGCCTGGTGGAAGCTGTTCGGAACGGACCAAGTGCGTTCGTCCGAACTCGTGCATTGCGTCACAGGAACGGCCGCCTCTTCAGAGGTCCTCGCCAAGGCCCTGAGTGTCTGAAATGCAACAGATAGAAATGCAGCACGCTGCATTTGTTGATTCTGCGCAGCCGACTGGCACGGTCAGAACAAACACTCCGGCAGGAGCATGCCCACTTGAACATGTTGAAGAGGAGGCATGCAGAGCTAGTAAAAGCGAGCAGGCAAGCAGAGGCCTCAGAGTATGGATTTTGCTTGTTGTGCCTCGTGCAGAACCATGCAGAAGCAATCACCCAGTCATTGAGGTACCATGCACCCTTAGAAGGGGCTGGCTGGCCTATCCGCCCCGAATGGACATTCCTCGGGACGTGCGTGATCCAAACTTTGCGGTGGCTTTCTCGCTTCTTGACACGTTTGTGTGTGTTGTATTTTTTTTTAAAGGTGGGGGGGGATTTTCTTTTTCATGTGGATGGTATGGGCTTTGAGCTTTCCATGGATAATCACGCGGCCTTTGACACGAAAGGAGTGTGGCTGCATGATAACACATGCAGTGTTCCATCATGTCTCATCTGAGGGTGGAAGATGTAGAAGCAGCCCAGTCGTGGATGGCCAAGCCTCCCAGCAGACAGAAAAGCCATCAACGTCAGCAGGGACACGAGAAGTGTCAGATAGCGCATTGCTTAATTAATCTATATAAATAAATAGAACATAAGTAAATATATAAATAGATATATATATATAATATAGTACCGTATAAGTGTTTACCTGCCTTCCATTTGTTATGCTCTAGTGCCCTGCCAAGGTACGGCTTCGTGATTTTTCGTGACGTGATCTCTGAGGAGGACTGCCGTGCAACGCGGAATGAGATTTGGAGCTACCTTGAGAGCAAAGTGCCACTTGGCTTCAAGACCCTCACCAACAAGCCGGGTGTCTTTTTTGGAGCAGGGAGACCTCCGGTTTGAGGGTCCAAAGGGTCTATTCCAATGATTACGCCCAGTGGGCCCAACAAAGTCTCGCATTTTGTATTTGAGGCCTGGCTTCAGGCGAGATGACCCGGAGACTTGGAGAGTGCTCTCTGAAACGAACACGGGCCGCTACTATGATGCGTGCGCCGGAAGCCCCATGTGCCGGATGCCGCATCCGCAGGCCGTCCCCAACTTTTGCAGGTACGGACTTCCGCCAGATCCAGTGATCGTCACAAGACAGCTGGTACGGAACCGTCAAAACTGCCGCTGGGAGTCGCAAGAAGCGCCGAACTTCAATGTGTTGGTGTCTTCCAGTGAGTTCGAAGTGGTCGCCGTTGAAGTGACAGGCAATGTGATTCGTGCCTTCAAAAACATCTTGGGCGATGGGATCTTGGTCAGCCCAAGCCTCGGGCTTCGATTTCACAGCTGCTTGGCATCTTTTCGGTGGGCCAGGTCAGGACCGATGGTGCCTGTACCGTGCAACTCAGAGGGGTGGAGTTCCCACCAGAAACAATCTTCATCTGGACTTGCACCCATGGAGACCCTTGGCCTCATTTGGAAGTGTCTGAGGCAGTGAGGTAAGGAGTTTCTTTACAGATTTGCGAAGGATACCTGGATGGGAACACGCAGATTGAAGACCTGCGGTACGAAGAGGGGCACGACCACGAGTTCTCACTTGAGAAGCTCGTTTGCATGTCACGTGTGCCATCATACCTCACCTGCCAAACGCATGCCGAACTGCAGGATCCCACGATCCCGGGTGCGGAGCTCAGCTCCTGAGCCTCCGAAACACGGCTCAGTGTGGCCATCGTCCATCTCCAGCGGCACAGGCTGAAGATGGCCCACACATTCAAGGAGTTCTAAATTTGCTCGACAACCTTGAAGAAGACGGTGGTACTCAGCTGGTTCCGGGTTTTCACAATGCTTTCATGGAATGGAAGCTTGAGCTGGGCAAAGAATCAGTCTGGCCCCCAGGTGCTTCAGCGATATATTGCTTAGGTGCATCGTGAATCTTGAAACTTCAGGAGTGGCTCTTCAAGCCAGGGCAGCACTCCAACTGGCTGCATCCTGGCAATGGGGGTGCCAGCTTCAAGTTTCATGAGCAGGACTATGCAGCGACTAGCAAGCTGAAACTCCAAACCAACACCTCAAGCTTTGTATGGAAGGACCCGATCCAAGCTTTGGCACATCGCATCCCCCTGAAGCAAGGAAGCTTGCTGCTGTGGGATCAGTGTCTTGCTTGCACCATCCTGTGCAGAAACTGTGATGCTGACAGCGGAGTGTGGATTTGTCAGGCGGTGCGTGCACGGATCTCGCAGTGGTCTTAGCCCAGTTAAGATTGGTGACAAGAACTATTGGTTGGCTGCAGGTCCCAACTGCTCCTCGAGGGTGAGGATGGCCCAGTTCATCCGTGCCTTCAGAAGGGCACCTTTGTCCAAAGACCGTGCTGTGGCCAGGGCTTGTGCAATTTTTCGCAAGCTGAAAGCGGCACAGCTTCTGGATGAAGTTTCCGGCAGCGGAATGGAAGTCTTTGGTTTTCATGACCTTCCTGACGCAATGGACATGATGCAAACAGGGCTTTCGTGCTTGGACTGAGCATCTCAATTTGAATGGGAATGAAATTACATGCTACAGACGGAAGTGACTGATTGACGGTACAGTATTCATTCATTCGTGCGAAGCTACAAGGTCAAGATCCGCATCACCCATACTGGTTGGGGCGTTCTAGTATTGGCCATGTATGAGCCGTGAGTCCTCCAAGTATTTGAAGCACCGACGTTTCGTTGTGAGTGCATGCCTGGTGGTCTCGTCTTCCATTTCGAGGCGGCGGGCATTGACTCAAAAGCAACGTTAATATTAATCTGGGAAACCAAACAGCCAGAAACAAATGGATGTTTCCCCAAACAGCCATCTCCTATGTAAAGGATTTCAATTGCCATATTGGAACGACCATTTGTTTGTGGCTGTTTGGGTTTCCAGGAATATATTGACATCCTGTATATTGACCTATATGGAATCACGAGAACAAGTGCATACACGGTTGGTTTATCATGTATCTAACAGGTTTGACGCCGAACTTTCTAACATTCAGGCGTTCACTCTGTACAAGCCCTCCTAAAAATGCCAGCACAGGCCGTGGGGCATTATTAAGTTTGCTGTATAGACCCTGTACATCATTAGACACTGACTGGTCTTTGAATCAGGTGGCAGACTTTGGCAGAGGCCGAGCTGTGCCTTTTCTTTGGCTGTTGCCGGTTGAACATCGAGCCGAGCCACCAGGATTCCCTTGCGCCGCGGCTTGCTTCTTCCACAGCTTGGCTTTGGCACTGGGCGCCCAGGTGGTTCACGAGAGCCTCAGGTGACCCTTGAGGATGGGCGCCGGAGACTGGTGGCAGCGGTGAAAACAGCCCTGCGGACTGGCTACCGCTTGGTGGACACAAGCTTGTTTTCAGGCCAGGGGTGGTTTTGTTCCTTGAGCGCCTTGAATGTTAGAAGTTTAAAGCTGCACAGGTGACATATACAATCATACTGACAGGCTTCGCCAACCGGCGATGCCCATGGGGGGACTGCGTGCATGCGGAGGCTCCTCGAAAGTGGTCATGAACACTGCCGATATATAAGCCCAGGTGGTGCTAGAAATATCGGCCGCAAACCGACATCTTGAGCATCACTAGGACGTAGGTATTTTCTTCAAAAACCGTTAAAACCCAAGGAGAGGAGAGGAAGTTTTGAGGTAGCAGTTGTGTCGAGCACCATTGGCATCACCACAATACGAGCAACGTTGTTCATAAACTACATACACATTGCAAAACCGCTGTAATTTACAGTGTTTTCTGCTTAGTCGTGCCCCACAGAATTTGCATCTTTCCTGCCGAGACTCTGCTGATGCTAATGATGCTCGACCCAAACTTCTCCTCTAAGCTTGTATCCATTTTCAACGCTTTATGTTTTAAGAGGTTCGGTTGGCAGCTACTTTTTCATCAGTGGCAATTTTTGATCATTTTCCATGTGTTTTTGATGTTTTTTGACGAATCCACCTGAGCCCTGGTGATGCTAGAAAAGAGGGTCGGCGGCATCGGGCGCGTCTCCGTCTAGCAAGCTATGCTTGATATGGTCATTGGTAAGGCATCGCCGGATAGAATGAGCTAGCGCCCGGATGCCGCCGACCCCCCTTTGGGGGGGCTTACATATTCATGCTTTAGTCGTATGCTTTCATGTTCGCAAGGTATTAGTCTTCCAGAGTCGTGTCTGTGTTTGCCTTGGTTCTTTTCATCCTTTCTTCAGCCACAATGGAACAATGGAAGCCACATGAAATTGCGAACTCACAGGAAGCTGCGAAAAGCAGCCTATGGCCGGCTGCCCATGTACCACGCCAAAACCTCGGTGCCGCCACACCGAAACACCCTGGCCCTTTAGAGCAGGGAGCGACGGTTGCCAGTGCCTAATGTTGCCTTCAAAGCCCTATAGAAAGAGGTGTCTAGGCCAGCCCCGGGGACCAGGACAAACCCCAAGCAGCTGCCAAAAGCAGCCTATGGCCATTGAGCACTTTCGGTGCGGGCGGACTTTTTTAAATTTAGATGCACTTATATATCTATATATGTAATTTTCTGTTTTAAGAAACATATATGTGTACACTTACACATTGTGTGTGTGACCAATATTAATCCAAGTGGTTTGTCCAAGTTCTGGTGGGCTTCAGGCATGGAGACAGCAGTTGTGGAGGGCATTCGTCAATCCGGCGTTGAGCGGTCAGAGGTGGTGGTTGCGACGATGCTTTGATGTATTCTCCAGGGGTCGGCTCCAATCGGCTGATTGGAAGAATCACTGAGCTGGACTAGCTAGGGCCTAGCCAGAACTCCCAACCAGAGTAGTCAAACCCTGTCTATTGAACCTTTGAAGGCCAATTGCCAACAAGTGCGTGTGACCCTCACCGCCCTCGCTTTCGCTCCTTGTTTCATCGTGTTTCACCGCCCTACCTCAAGTCCATGTCCTGCTGCAGCTACCTGGCCAGCCTTCGAATTGAGTTAAGTGGACCTTTTAGAGCTCTTAAAGAGAGCTCAGTGCCAGAGAGCCTTTTGGGTGTTGCAGAGAGTTCAGTACCATCCAAGGAAGCTCCTCCAGATGGCGCACAACAGTTCGGAGGCGGTGCACGCGTCTGTAGAGAATTCTTTGCGCCCCTTTGCTTGAATCGGGCAAACACACGCAGAATCGCATGAAGACAACATAGACGCCTTGTCCAAAGGCAATTTGAACTGCAGCTGCATTGATCTCTATCTGCTGCAAAGCCCGCGGGCGGGCCGAATTTTAGACGCCCAAAGCCAAGATTGCTGTGAGGTTAAAAGCTCAACAAAGCACATTTTGTGTGGTGACACCTAGCAGCGAGAGAGAGTGAAGGCGCGGAGGAAATGGCACATGAATCCGCCCAAACAAAGCAAACTTGCCGGGCAAAGGTATGGCCTCAATTGATCCGCCTTCGCAATGAAGGCCTGATTGGTGCCTTGGGTGTGTCCAATTTCGGTGCCCATCAGCTGGAGGGCATGAGACCCTCAGCCGCAGTTCTTACACTGACACATGTGGTAGGACACTGGCACACTCACGGAACCAAATGAATAGTACAAGCGTGAGCTATCCTGCGTCCAGTAGCTAGGAGCTATATAACTTGGCCCTTGCTTGATTAAGTAGGCGCCAACTTGATTATAGCAGGCGGAGCGGGCTTTTAAGAAAGAAAAAAGAGAGAGTGTGGTTGTGCCAGTGCAGCACGCAGTACGCTGAGGGCAATCTGGCCTGGAGCTGCCCGAGGTGAATCAGGTGGAAGTCCACTGTTGCTTGACAACTCATCTGCTCCGGAGACGCCGATGTGCACCGACGCTCTTTAAGGTATGATCTAGTAACATGTGTCTATGTTCTGCAGCTCCGATCTTGAAGCACACGAAGGCATGGTGAAATTGCCGCACTTATCAAGCTTAGGTTGGCGACAACTTCCTGCCCTCACAGAATATCACAGGACTCGACAAGCTGCACCTCCACCGAATCCTACATTCCACCAGGGTTCGGCGAGCCGAGGACGCACGGGATAGTCACCATGTGCATGGCACCACTGGCCAGGGGCGAGATGTTTGGAAAGACCGAATCTTGATTTTGTTTCGGCACCACTTGTGAACCTTTTCCGACTGGTCACCGAAGAACTCGGGTCATCTCCGGACTCAGCAAGGAAGTGGCGACCATTGCCCAAGAGCTCGGGCAAACAGAGGCAGCAGTTGCGGTCCGCCCCTGGGCGAAAGACCGTTGGTGGACCGTGAGGAAGTGCCTGCTCTGGCTGCTTTGTTTTTTTGTCTTGTAGGTTGGTGCTTGCAAATGGGATACATACCCATCCCAAGGAGCCCTGGCTGAACAGACAGATGGCTTGACAAATTGATTGATGCATTTTCAAATCAATTGAAGTAATTGAAGGTGGCTTTTCATCAGGTCTGTCCGATCGTCAAGAATTCTGGAAAACACTGCATCCGGATTTGAGCTTAGTGTCAGCCAGATGGAGAGGACCGCAGATAGATTTGGAGAGCGAAATGGATAGGTGCATTTCTTGGCACCACTTAGGTCTAAAATACTTTGCTATTGGGTTGGAGGCCATCGCTTCTGGGTTGGAGGCCATCGTTAGTAGGTTCGAGGCCATCGCTAGCAGGTTCGAGGCCATTGCTATTAGAAACCAAGAAAAGATAAAGGAAGCACTGTTTAAAATAGTTTGCTATTGCGGATGCCCAACATTTGATAATGGCATGTGTTCATGTCTCTTTTGACATTGAACCCGGCCGAATCTTGTGTCTTCGGGCTTGCTTGCACAGGTAGTTCAGTTTATACTTATATAATGGGGAGGCTTCAGGAACTCAATTCCATTGTTGACGTGCAGGATTGGCCGGATGAATGTAGCTTATGTTGCCTGTCGAAAGGCGTCTCCATGTTGTGAGCCTCCAAGTTGCAGTAGCAGACAGTGTGCCATTCACAGCAGAGTTGCCAGCCGCCATGTCATTTGTGATAAGGATACCATGGGAAGCTATTGCTGACGCTTGGCACTTCATTGATTTGATTGGAGCCCACTGGCAACTGCAGCCGTGAAGAGCTGCTCCTCCATGGCACTGTAAGAGATCAACGCCTTTCTTTCCGGAACGAGTCATGCCCGCCAGAGAGAGAGAGAGAGAAGATTGCAAGCTCCATGCTATTTTTTGCGAGGAGAGTATTCCAGACAAGTCATTGTGGGATGAGAGCAAGAAGCGCAAGGCAGCCTGGGCGAAATCAAGCAGCAAGCATCAGATTCTCCTGCCGAATGAATCGAGTGAAGATAACTTGAAGACTGGATCTGCAAATTCTTTCTGCAGGTTGAAGCTGCAGAACGGCGGAGCCAGCTGCAGGAAGAGCGAGCTCGGAAGGCGGTGAAGATTCAGGACGTGCATTGCTCTTTTAAGGAGTTTCGGAGGTTGAGCCAAGTTTCAGGGCTCAACCTGCTCACGACCTGGCAGATCCAGCTTCACCTTGGCAATTTCTTGCGTTTGTGGTACTTGCAAGTCGCACGTTGCTTTGCATTCTCAACGGGCCCACCAGTTGAACAACACAACATCTTAGCCACACAGGCCTTGGAGAGGAAACAGCAGCAAATCCGAGCACAGGCGCGATGCTGGCGGTCAGAGTTGGGCTCGGCTATTGGGGGCTGTGCGAAGGGTTCATGGAGTTTGTCACATTGTAATTTGTTGCAGGCTGCGGTGGCAGCACAAAGGCAGAGCACTCAGACAGCACAAAGGAATGTCGAGTAGTTACGCCAAGCTGTGGTCGGAATCACTAAGTGGCAGAAGATGGGTGGGTCCCCAAATGCCTGGTCTAACAATGACATCAGCTCGTTAGAATGTGATGTGGGTTGGCCATGCCGCCATGCTCCATTCGACAAGGCACCTTTCGTAAAACTGTCCGCCGTAGAACCGTGACGCGCCAGGTCAGCAGCCAGAACAGTCAAAGCAGAAGAAAAAGTGAGATCGTCATCTTGAGTGAACTTGTTCAACAGCAGATGGGAGAGCGCTACTTGCGAAAGTCCCTTACCAGGCTTTACAGCCCTCATTGTTCTTAACAAGCATGCATGCATGCACTTGAGGCCCGCTTTGCCAAGAGCAATTTCCTTCAGACGAGGCAGATTTTGCTCGGGTGTGTGGGCATTGCAAAAGGCTGCCGGTCATTCGAGTCATTCCGGTGTCTCTTTTGATCGCTTTTGTGTTCCGGTCTAGTTCTGTTCGTTCCCGGTCTTACCGCGAGGCTCAATTTCTGGAGCACCTGGCTGCCTCCCATGGCCGTGCGCTCACGGCTCCTGGAGGAAGGCTCCACAGAAATGTCCATCGCTGGGACGTGTTGTACTCATTTCCATTTTGACATCCAGAGAGTTGATCTTCATTTCTTCTAATAATTAGAAGAGACTGTTGAGATTCTAGAAGATTGTGGCGATGATTCGTGCGATGGCCTCCAAATCAGGCTTGGAGGCGAGTCAGAGCAACTTGACATGTAAGGGGCTCAGCCGGGCTCCGCGAATCCAGCATGCTGCCAACAATTGGACCCGTTTCGGTCAACAATGAAGGTTGCACCGTGCTTCGGCAGATGGCCACTACGCGCGGCTATCAGAGGCCCAGCAGCAACTGCAATTGGTTTCCCTGGGTCCCGAGCTGAGCCATGAGCTTCTTACTACTGAACTGTAGCTGCAGCTTTTGGTCGACCTGAGGCTCTTTCTGCGGAATGCCATCACCTCAGACTTGCAACGAAGGCGCGGGAGAATCGACTTCCGATGGCAGGAAGTTTTCTATCCAGCGACTTGGACTTGGAGACGCTCATCTTCCTTTTGATTGGACACAAGCTCAGATTCCCCTTCTTTTTTTGGGGGGGTCCTCCCGGAGATCTTCCCTTTGAGGATTCGGACGACCTCCCAGGGCTTGGAGCGCTTCCTCAAGCATGGCTTTGATGATTTCTTTGTGGCGTGCCCCTGAGGATGTTTGGACAGTTTGTGGGATCTTTGTATTAAAAGGCCACCGGACCGAGGCTAAGAGATACGATCTGCCAGAAGCTGGGCTCCAGAGCTGCAAGCATGTGTACAATTGTCGTTTGAGACTTCATGTCGCCCGTGCATCGCATCGTAGTCCTTGCTACTTGCTTGCTGCTTGCTACTTTCGCCCAGGATGAAAGTTCACCGGGCTGAGCATCATTCCTTTTGGCACGATGATGTGACCTGTTCAGCATGTTTCACTCCCCATATGAACCGAAATTCATTCGAAGTGTGAAACCTCACCTTTCAGGTGAGTCAGCCCGAAGTCCGAGAGAAACTCTTGCGTCGAGTGAATCGTTTCCTGGGGCTGGCAGAGAATACACCGGAGGCCTGACAGAGTTCGTATGTCATCCAAGACATTCCCCATATAATTGTTTGACTTGTGGTGCAAGCTGTGGCACTTGCACGCACAATTTGAGCATTTCGACAGTCTCGGGATTTGCTCTTCATCAGAAGCTGCGCCTGCACCGATGAACTGCGGGAAGCAGAGGTGCCTTCGATCCTTTTCGGAACCTGCGGACATGAGCCTGCACGCTTCGCAGTGCGGAGGCTCTTTATTCTGCACTCTGTGGGCGCTTCACAGTGGGTCCAGGAAGGAGGCGTGTCCGGGTCATTTTCAGGCAACTTTGGAAACTTTGGAAGTCTTTTTGCGAATTGAGCATGTCCACGACTTGCAAGGTTGCTGCTTGCCATGGTGGTGGATGGTCAGGATACTTCTAGCTGCTCCAGCGATTCAGATTGCAATGCTTCCTGTGAACAGGAGCGCTATGAGGGCCCCATTCTCCACGCATTTTTGCCAGGCGCGGTGATGAGCCAAAAGCACGTGACCTCAACAGGCCTCAGGCATGTAACTTAGTTGCAAAAGGCTTGGCCTTTTTTCTACAGCCGCTGGCGAATGAGCAGGAAGGCACAGATGGGAAGGCTGGGCATTTCTGGCGGCTTCACTTGCAAAAGAGCAGAATCTGATTTTTCGACTTGCATCACAAAACACCAAAAGCAACAGCCGAAAGAGATCACCTCACCTGATTAGTGATGTACTTCAGGGCTGGTTTTGGGCGCATTGGGTTGTTGAGGCCTTCAGTTGGGCTGTCGGGGCTGCCTGCGATGCTGCGCTGGCGGTGTGCGAATTTGAAGGCCGGTTGGATCTAGCTGTTCCTTTGCCGTGGTTGAGTCTATCCCTCATATTCACATGCTCATTGATTGCGCATTCTGCAAAGACAACAAGAAGCTTGAAGGTTTCGCAGCAAAAGGTGGTGAACGAATAGTCCCTTGTGCTGCTGAACTTCTAGAAGGTGGAGAGTGGCGAGGTGCACCATTTTGCTTGCGCCGAAGCCACGCCGTCCAGCATCGCAGCAGATTGAGCATCCTCAGGCAACCCTTGCAAGCCAGTGGCTTTTTGCGATGCTGGTTTGCGGTCAGGCAAAATACTTCATTACATCGCACGATATTCCCAAATGTCCTCGAATCACCGGCCAATGTTTTTGTGCAATTCACGAGAATTAACATCAATCAATTTTCGTCCCCAACCCTGGACGCTTCAAATTTTTGAATAGGTTTTGGAGATTTTGCTTGCTTCGAAATAATCTTCTTAAATTTATAATATATTTGAATTAATTGTTAAATATATAAATATATATTATAATTGTTTATTTATAAAATAAATATATTTACATATATTATATTAAACAATATTATTTATACTAAATTAAATAAGCAAAAATAAAGAAATATATTTTATATATATATTAATAATTTATAAATATATATATATTTAATGCAAATCGTATTGTATTTCTATAAGAAAAAACATAATCTTTTATTAAAGAAATTTAATTTATAATAATTTACAGATTTATTTTTTCGTTATATGGTAAAAAAAAAAATCTTAAATTACCTTAAATATTCGGTATTGAAGAAATTAAAACTATATATTAATATAATGTAATTATTTAAAC